TATGCAAGTACGTACATACTTCAAATACAGTGGAACCGAAGGGTTGAATTAACCCTTTCGGTTCCAACAGATATATATAGATATATATATATATATATATCGAAATGGTGGTTTTCGCTTCTCAAACATGTAAGTTTAATAGGTAAACATAGACATATACAAAGAATGAGATGAATTAGTTTCAACTTGGCATATTTGTGTCTATCAACATAGAAGTCTACAAAGAATGAGAGTGATTAGTTTCAACTTGGCATATTTGTGTCTTTCAACATACACGTTTACAAAGAATGGGATTAACTAGTTTCAACTTGGCATATTTGTATCTTTTAACTCTTATCCCCTTCAGAGTTTAAGACGATCTGATTACCGCAGTACTTCCTCAACTCAAATATCAACCCCCTCCCCCCGGCCGCAAAAGATTGTTTAACTAGATATGGACACAGCATGACTGAATGGGCTAGAATCCGTTTGTATCGTTTATACAAAGTTCACTTGGGCAGAATTCATGATGCGGCTATTTTTTTTTGAAAATGCCAAAGATGTATTTTATATTTTAGGATACAATACAAAATAAAATAAAAATACATATCATAGAGAGAGAATATACTACCGAATAATAAAAATAAAAATATTGTATTTTAGATCAATATATTTCTTAGATGGCCAAGTCTTTAGGTCTTTTGGCTATATGTACTGTACAAAGAGGAAGAATACTTCTAGTTCGTAGGAAAGCAACTAGCTGTTTACTTTAGTACATAGTCTGAATAAGGTGTGAACTGGTGATAGTGGTTCAGTGTAACGGAAGGCCTGTACCATGTTCAAACGAAATAAAGATAAAGACAAAGATAAGGAAAAGAAGAAAGTAGTTAGTCGTGATCGTAAAGGATCCATAGCTCCGCCTTCAAACAGTGTCACGCACGATGAATCGAGAATTAAGAGTCCTACACCCTCCCAATCAAGTGGGTCTAAAACGGGTAAGCGCCAAGCCCCAGCGCCACCAGACAGAAAGATAAATAGCAAAGTGGGTTTGCCGGGTTCTGGTACGGGTGTGAATAAAAAAGAAAGAGATACGTCACCCTCTGGCCGAGCTATCGAGGGATCGATCCGTAACGAAGAGATGGACAGGAAGGATGAGAAAAATCCATCGAAGCCTGGAAAGGTAGCTTTAGATGGGGAAGAGTCAGCTACTCCGCCGCCTACGAGAAATATGCCTATACCACACACAGGCCAGGAGGTGGACCATCGAGATACAAAAGTACAGCATGAGGGGAGTGTGGCTACAAATTCTTTGGCCGCGCCCACGCGGACGGGAAGTACCAAAACGAACACAAAGACTCCGCCCAAGATGATCGCACCTTATAATGTATCGGCTAAGAGAAGGGCAAGCAATGTGACAAAGGACGATAGTAAAGATATACAGGTTAAAGATACAACACACACAGGGAGTGAACAGGATTGCGGACCACCGGTCGATAAGGCGTACCTCCCGAAGAGACCCACTAACACCGTCGCCTGTAAGTTCGCAAGTCGTTTGAAGAAGGTGGATTCATATATACATCCCAAACTTCTTTCTTTGTATGCGATTTAGGTGCACTCGTTCCCGTCCTTCCCTACTTTTGGCGGAAGAGTTCAAGGAGATTCGGTTGCGCGCATATCACTTCGATTCGTGCTACAAAATATCAGGACGAATGTTACCCGCATGTGTGTATATATGCAAAGTACGTACATACTTCAAATACAAACACACACACACATAAACGAACGCACACACACACACACCCATACCCACACACACACACACACATCGCCCCACCCGCTCCGCCCCAACCCAAACTACCC